TATATATATATATATATATATACATCTATATCTATATCTACATCTATATATATACATCTATATCTATATCTACATCTATATATATACATCTATATCTATATCTACATCTATATATATACATCTATATCTATATCTACATCTATATATATACATCTATATCTATATCTACATCTATATATATACATCTATATCTATATCTACATCTATATATATACATCTATATCTATATCTACATCTATATCTATATCTATATCTATATATATATATTATGTATGTATGTATGCATGGTAGACTTTCAAAATGCACAATAAAAAGGGAATGATGAGATGATTTACATACTAGTTTTTGTTTGTAGATGCTGCTTAGCCACCCACCAGGCACGACTCAAACACATTGTGTGTTAATAACTTTTTATGTTAACATATTTTCGTGCAGGTCAAGTCTTTTTTTTATTATTATTTTTCTATGTACTTTTTTAGAGTTCTTAAATTTGTCCTTAACGAAAAAAAAAGATACGGGACGTTTTGACACGGGAACCACATAGCTGGGGATTAGGAGTACCAACTTGTGCCCTGTACGATAACTTTACATTTGTTATTGATGTATAGAATTATGATCGAACATGTATATGCGGAGTCCCGACCTCTTTTTATTTCTGGATTTTTCACCGACCCAATGATACCGATCTTTCTTATTATATTATTTGACTTGTTTTATTATCTTTCATGCATGCTTGGGTGCTTACTTGTTTCATCATTTTTCAAGTTTGACTTGTCTAGGATTCTGATGATATAATTTAGGCTCTTTAAGATTTAAAATTCTAAATTTGCTACAAAATTCTAATAAAACTTTCGAGCTAATAAAAAATTTAGGATTAAAATGTTCCGGACTTTAAAATTTGCACTTTTACTTTTCTGCATCGTCTTTAGGCCGGATTTTCAAAGGGCTACATGCATAGCTCTCACCCAAGTCATATAACAGGGCTATCAACAATAAGCTTCTAAAGAATATCTCTTACAAGATTTGTCATAATATAGACGTATGCTAGAGAGACATTTTTAGCTTATTTTATCCTTCTTACATTACTTTTGTTGTTCGCATGTTTAGTCATTTTTTGTCTCAATCATAGACCTCGTATATATCAAACGTACTATAGATAAATGTATCTTCTTTTCTAATGCTTTCAACTTACAACTACGGCATTTGTCGATGTAGATTGGGGATCTTGTATCGACACTTGACATTATATTAGTGAATGTTGTATCTTGTTGGGTGAATCCATGATTTCTTGGAAATTAAAAAAATAATGTCATAATTAATTGGCTGAAATAGTGAGCAAACCTGCTTGGCTTCACCAACTATTACAAAACCTTCAAGCCTCAACAACCCTCTTGATCCTTCTCTTTTATGAAAATCAGACTTACTTCCCTATTGTTATTAATCCTAGCTTCATTAAGATACAAAATGCATTGTCATTTCATTTGGGATAAATTCAATGATATATTCTTCAAACCTATGCCTATTAATTTGGCTCTTTAGGTTATAGACATGTTCACTAAGCCAATTACATAACCAAATATATTCTCAATTTTATCCAAAATGGACATTATTGCATACTAGAAAATTCTCCAAAATAGTGAAATTTTATGTCTCAGCACAATATAATTTTCCAGAGCGCAAACAGATAGAGATATAAGAGAACCATATTTTTTACATGAAAACTCTAGAAAGAAAAAAAAATCACGGGGTCTGACCAAATCAAAGTAATCCACAAAAAAAAATTGAAAGCATAATAATTCAGTTTTCTCTGGAATTATGGATGACGAGATTACAAAAAATTAAAAAACATAATTTTATAATATTATTTTGTCTTCACTAGTCTTAAATTGGACAAAAAGAATTATGATTTATGGCTACAATTGTAGTGATTAGCTAGAAAAGGTATCGTTGGTGGTTATAATTCAAGTATTTAGCCTCAAAATTCATAATTGATAATCAAACTAATCATAATTTGCTATTATAATTGTTGCTGGCGGTCATTCCCCTGCACTTCTTTCAGGATAAATATTTTAGTTTTGAGTTATTCTTCTCTTGTTCCATTGACTCAAATGGAAAATAATAGCCTTTTTATAATTTATTTAAAGGTAATTTTAATAAATTTAATCAATCCATCAGACGTTTCACATTAATTTCCTTGATCATAAGTCATTTTTTCAATATTTATGTACATTAACACTTCAAAATTGAAAGCTTTTCGACTCAATTGATTCATCTCGTCGAGTTGCTCAATTTGACAATAAGCATGTAAAAAATTAATATTATTTTATCTTCTAATTAATGAGCCAAATTTTATAAATACACTAACAGGTTAATTTGAACTTATTTGAACTCGTGTTTAATTCTTTCTATCATTTTATTGAGGCATTCAATTTATTTAATATAAATTTATTAAAATTGGAGCCGGCATGATCATAAATTTGAATATGAAATATTTAAAATAACATGCATTCAAATTCATTTATTGATAAAAATTTCATGCTATTAAAAGAAAATTTTATATATGCCTCTTCCTTTGCCGGCTCATATGTTCCCCTTATCTGCTCATATATTATATGTATGTGGACCTTATCCGAAAGTGCATCCGTTTTAACTTTTTAGTTTTTCCCAATATCGAATAGTCAATCCTAAATTTGACTAATTCAAAAAAAATAAAATTTTCGTATTCCAAACTTAATTGCAAGTAATATTAGGATAAAAATGTAAAATATAAATACATCGTGAAATTGTTCATGAAAATGATGCCACAGACAAGTCATAAATGCCCTCTGGCGTCAAGCAGTTGGCTTGCATAGTCCCTCTACGCATTATTTTACTTATTTTATACATTGAAGTTAAACCACATTACCAACCTGTTCCTCCTTTCTTCGTGCTGCTGATTCACGCCCTACTCGAGTCAATTCCTCCACCATCCGCCCAACATCCTCGTACGAACACCCACCCACCTCCATAGCTGCCTTCGCGTCGCGGACGCCGCCAACTCCCTCGCCCGCCTTCGAAACCCCTCCGCCTCTTCACCATCAGCCATCACTCTCCTCACCGCCCCCGCCACCTCCGCCGCCTTCACGTCCGCCGCCCCCTTCCTCACCCTCACACCCACCTTCAACACCTCCGTAATCAATCTCTCGTTCACAAACTGCTCGTACATCAACGGCCACGCCACCAACGGCAACCCGGCCGCCAAGCCCTCCAGCGTGGAGTTCCACCCGCAGTGCGTCACGAAAGCACCCACCGCCACGTGTCCAAGTATCGCTATCTGCGGGGCCCATCCCCTCACCACCCACCCCTTCCCCTCCACCCTCTCCTCAAACCCCTCCGGCAGCCACTCCATCGTCTCCGCCGCTGCCCCTTGCCAATCCCTCACGGCCCATATAAACCGTTGCCCGCTCGCCTCAAGCCCGATCGCGGTCTCCCGCATCTGAGCCGCATCGAACTGGCAGAGACTACCGAAGCAGGTGTATACAACGGATCGGGCCGGCTGGGCGTCGAGCCAACTCAACAGTGGGGCCGTGTCCAGGTGTGCCTGGCTGCCCCGGTTCGAACTGTCGATTTTATCATCCTCCGGATTAGATAATGAAACCGGACCGACGAACCAGGCTCGGCGACCAGCCCGACCGCTACGAAAAATATCTACATAAGCCGGTTCCAGCTCATAGAAAGAATTAACCACCACTCCGAAGCTCTTCTCCTCGGCCTCTCTAAACAATTGAAGAGTCGGCTGAAAATTGAAGATTTCGTGAATCTCCGGTTTCGTTAACTCGATGGGGTACGGGAGATCGTCAATGAGAATGGAACGGGCGTCATCTTTGGAGAAGTGCTCTAGTGGGTTAATGAGGGCTAGACTCTCATGGACGCAGAGTGGGAAGAAAGGCGGCGCGGGGGCGGAGGAGAAGGTCGTGGAGAGATGGGCGGAGGGTGGGGATAGCGGCCATGAGGTGAGAAAAATGGAAGGGAGGGAGTTTAGTGAGATTTTCGCGGTTGCCAGGGGGGAGTAGGTCGGTGGCGGAGGGAGGGAAAGGGAGGAGGATGAGATCAATTGGGAGGGAGACTGTGGGAGAAGAGTCTGAATTGGCGCGGTCGATGGCCGGGCGGGCGAGGGATTCGTTGCCGGGGGTGGTGATGATTGTGGGGGAGACGTCGCGGCGGGAGAGGAGTTTGGCGATGTCGATGAGAGGGATCATGTGACCTGGGCTTAGCAGAGGGAAGATGAAGCCGCGGAGTGGTGGCTGCTGCGTTGTTTCTCGGCTGTTTGCAGTGTCCATCGTTGCTGGAGTTGCGGTGGAAAGGGTTGCGGCGACTCTACGGAGTCAACTGAATAGAGTTTTCAAGAAAGAGTCAGACTGGCCGAAATATCAAGTTCAAGATGACGGCATGGGAATTTTACCGGCGGGCAAAGAACGAAAAAAGAGATAATATAAATCACAACCAAAATCTTAAATTTTACACTGACAGCACCTTTTTAACGCGTTACATGTTGCCTGGTCGGCTGCTGTGTCACGTCAGATTTATCAGGATTAATTTGAAAATATTTTATTTTGACAATCTATAAAATATTTTTACATAAATATTTTACATAAATATTTTTACATAAATATTTTATTTTGAAAATATTTTAATATAAAATAAATTTTGAAAATTTCATAGCTTATTAGATAATTAATTTTTTTTCAATTATATATTTTTATAACATAAATTAAAATTTAATTAATATCAAGATTAATTAACAAATTTAATATTTTCATTAATGTAAAGAATATTAACAATCTATTTATAATAATACTTAATATTTATTAATATTTATGTTACTTAAAATAAAATATCACATTTAAAAAAAATTAATTTTTCAAGAAACACCCTAAATGGGGGCATTTATAAAATTTAATTTTATTTTATAAACGTCTCCTACGGAGATTAATATGCTCCTTTTTTAATTTCTTTTGAGAGGAATTTCTCCCCTGTATTTCACTAACAAACAAGTTTCTTTTAAAAAATTTGACACATTTACAAGTATAAAACTCAACCTAGTGTTTACAGACGAGAAAATTTTATTTTTAGCATTTACATAACTAATTTGTTTTATATCACTTCAAAAATAAGAATTTTATTTTAAAAAAATGAAATATATTTTCGTGTGCATATGCAAGTTGGTATATTTAGATATATCTAGATATAATTGAAGTTTGGATCTTAGATATGTAAATACAAAAGAAATAAGTGATATGTATGTATAGCTTCCTTTTATTTTATTTTTATTAAGAAAATCGAATAAGATCACTTTGAATGTCACCCTTTTTAGCCATGATGTGCATAAACGTTGGTGTCAATGCCTAGTGTTAGCATTAGTGTTGCTAATGTGCATTTGAGTTGCTACAATGTTATCAATGACAAGCATCATCCTTAATGCAACTATAATTATTATTCGTGTTGATGGTGGGTGTTATCTTTGTTGATGATGATTTGTATCACCATTGATATTGATAGCGAGTGTCGGCCTAATCAACAACAAAATATGTGATATTTATGAAAATTACTAACATCAAGATTGATGATAGTGGTGAGCAACAAACTTAATTGTTGATGATAGACATTGACTTTTATGTAAATGTTGGTGTTGATGATATGTGTTAGTATGGTTGAGCAGGTAATGTTTTATGATTCTTCAAATTCAAGAGCAATTTTTTAATCCAAGTGGCATTTATTTTTTAAATAAATTTCTATTTATATATTTTTGATAGGGTATTTTAATATTTTTTTCAACATCTCAAGTAATGCGCTAAAAGACAAAATTTCAAGTTAAGTGTTGGCCTGTAGAAGAGAAGAATAAAATTAAAGTAAATGATGTAGAGATGAGAATGCTCGTGTGTGAGTGGTTTTACATTTAAAGAAAAAATGTCCTAACCCAAGATTTACCAAATGTAACATGCTATCATACCGTATTTATATATAATTGACATAAGAATCCAACACCTAAAGATTTGAAATATAAATATAAAAAAAAGGTAGCTACAATTTTTGCAAGATTAATATGAAAAAATGTATATCATAATGTGAAATTCAGAAATATAAGTCGTCTGAACAATGTAGATTAATGTCAGTTAAAGAAATGACCTCAAGAAACATGTGGTGGATCCTTACTTTAAGATATTCAACACGCATATTGCTCATATATGAATGAAGTAGCAACATATTTATGCATTTAGAATGAAGAAATGAGGACTCGCATTTATTAGAAAATCTGATCAGAAAGAAGTCAATCAAGTAAAAAACATCCACATTGGATAAGGGATCATACCAACCAAATAAAAAAGTAGCAAAAAGAAAATAAGAAATTCTAACATCCTTATGAGCAAGCACAAGAATCCCTAATCCAAAATCTCGGAGGAGAAAAAAAAAGAAACCCGCACACACTAGTAGAGATCAGAGCTCTCAAATCCCTCCTTCGAAGAGGTATTTATAGCCGAAAGAGGAAGATGCTTACCGCTAGAGTTACCGACGGTGAGGAGAGGGGCAAAAGGATCGGGGGAGAGGCAGTTAGGGCACGAGAGTGGGGGCCATCTCAATCTCTGGAAAGAGATTCTCCTGCGTGAGAGGAAGAGCACTCGACTAGGGCATGAAGGAGAAGAGACGGGAAAAGCATCGTGTGTGTGACGGAGTGGCGTGAGAGATTTTAAGGATTTATTATTATTGTCATCAGTATTATTATTATTATTATATGTCTTTCCTAAGTAAAATCAATGTTCTAGTTGCATTCGTGCGGTCCGTTTCGTTGTTCGGGACGTCCAGACAAATTTGTTGATATCAAACCAATTTAACTTCGATTTACGCGCTACATAACAAATAAAGTCTTTTAGTCCGACCGGAGCTGTTCAACAAGCAAAATGCCGACCAGTCCTTGCCTAAGCAACGAATATAGTCTTAGCAGAATGCTCTCGACAGCAAGTAACTCGTTACCTGTTAAGGAGTCTTTTTATGAATTTTCGAATCCTTATAGAAACTTGATTTGAGTTTCATATTGTTGGTGTTAATCGACTCAACTAAATGTTAAGGATTCGAACCCACCCAAAATAGACTACAATAAGTTAAGAAAAGGTTCAAATTGCAAAGTTGTGTGGGTCCCAATAATAATCATCTAGAGAGCCAAAAGGAAATCATAAGGCTAGATACTATATTTTAGAGAGAGAAAAAGAATACCTCATAAAAATGAGGTCAATAGACCAGAACACCAGAGTCTCCTGACATAAGTTTTTAGACGACAGTACCTTTGGCGTCGTCAGACGAGTTGAGTTGATCGACCGATATAGGTTTGAGCTTTGACCTTTTGTGTTTCTTTCATATCTTCTTCTTCTTTGCAGGAGCGGAGGCTCGATAGCCCGCCAAGGTGAAGAATTTAGTATTCACCCCACTTCGACTCGCACCCTCACTCGTGGTGTGCCTTAGTTACTTGGGATGGATTAACAACAAAGATTGTGAATCCCAATTTTGTGGTCCTATTTATAGGATCCACCAGACACAAAATCGCAAAAGGAAAATTAATTATCAAAATAAAGTTTCTTGATTTCGGTGCACTTATTTTTTAATAGTTTTACTGTCCTTATTATAGTTATCACTGTTAATAAGTATAAAAACCAGAGAAACTAATAAATATGCACCAAAACTGTCAGCATGGATCTCAAACCGATCTTACAACCAGGGATGACAGTCAGACAATTAGAACATCAAACTAAAGGGACATGATCCGAGCCAACCATTTGACGAACCGACAACTCGGTTAAAGTCAATCAAAACACGGTGTCGATGGATCTTATCGACGAGCCACTCTTACGATCCTAAAAGAGTTCGGTAGCAATTGGATGACCGGAGACTTTGCTATAGTAGGAATGACTGTCATTTAGACGATCACCATGGTCGACCAAACTTAAACACGTCGATCAACTGATGACAGTCATATTCAAATTCAAAATTGCAATACAAATCCAGAATTAAATCATGAGAATCTTATCTTAAATTAGTGCATTAATTTTATTAAGAGCGATTTTCATAAATGCTCTCTCCTTCGGTAATCAAGAATAATTTTCATAATTTATAAAAAATGTCTTTTATAAATAAGAGGCCCAAAGATAGGATGTTTTTCTTAAAGATAATATTAAAATCATTATATATATGTACATATATATATATATATATATATAATATGAAAATAAAATTGTGTAATTTAAATAATTAATATTATCATGAATCATAATTGTGTTATTTCTGTTTTCGCACTCTCTGGCGTCCACTTGCCATGTACCCTCAACAAAAGTACTAGCGAGCAAGCTCCACTTTTTGAACGCAAATTGGGGAAGATGAAGGTGGAACGAGATTCGCGTGAGAGAGAGAGCAAAGATGGAAAGCATCGAAGCAGCTGGCCTAGCTCTCCTGTACTCTTCCTCCCATGATATTGATGCAGTAAACTCTGAGCATTGCCCTCGTCCTCTTCACTGACTGCTGACTCTCCGTCTCCGCCCTTTTCTTCTGCTTCAGACATCTTCTTGCACATCCTTCATCTCCTCTCCATTTGTTCTCCGCAGGTGCTGTTTTCTCGTATGATCTGCCTTCTTCGGTTTTTTCAATTTGTCTGTTTCTTGATTCTCTCTTTTGTTATCCAATCAAACGTTTTCCCTTGCCTAATTCCTCTTCACTGCCTGTTGAATCCGGGCCTCTTGTGATACTGGGACCAGGTAAAACTTTCAGGCTGTGTTCTTTCCATGTTTGTTTTCTACATTATTTTTGTTTTTGTCCCTCTTCTTTGCCCTTGGTGCCTTAGTGGTCTAGTACAAAGATTTGAGCATTGAATTCTGGCATATGTAAGATATAATTGATTTCCTGGCTTTTAACTTTTATCAAGTTATAAAGTTGGAAAATTGCAAACTTAGTACTGTTATTTTTTCTGTTGATTTATTGTTTTTTTTTCTTCCCCCGAGTTTAATATGTTTTGGCTTGCTTGATGGAGAAGACCTTCTCACTACGCTCTGAAATTGATGATGTGGAGAAACTAATTGATGTGAGGATTAATGGTTGTTTGTTAGATATGAGTCATATACCATAAAGGGACAGATGTTGGAGTGGAGCGGAGCAGAGCGGAAGATTCTGTCCAAATCAAAGAAATTTCCTTATGTGGGTTGGGGGTGTGATACAAGGGTAATGTTGTAATTATATATTGTACTTAGGGTTTACTCCTGAGTTATAAATAGACTTGTAATCCCAGGAGGTATCGCTGATTTCTGTAATCTCTTTTCTGAATATTGAAAGGAACGAGCGACAAAAACTATACGTCTATGCCTGACAGATGAAGTCATGTATCACATGATGAATCTAAAATCTCCAAGAAAGATATGAAAGAAATTGGAAACTCAGTTTATGGTTAAATCTCTGACGAATAAATTGTATCTGAAACACAAGTTATATGTGCTGAAGATGCAAGAAGGTTCTGATCTGACACAACATGTTAATAGTTTCAATCAAATAATCACAAATTTATCACGGTTTGATATCACTATTGAGGATGAGAGACCAAACAATGATTTTGTTGTGTTCACTGTCTTCTTCTTATGAACTCCTGGTGACTAATCTTACATATGGGAAAAAAACTATCAAAGTTGATGAGATTACTACAGCATTGTTGACTCACAACCCGCAGAAGAAGAATGCAGAGAAAAATTCTTATGATGACAGTTTATATATTAAGGGTAAGTAAGATCGTGGAAGGAAGAAATAAAATGAGGGTTCTAGAAGGCGAAGTTCCAGATCAAAGTCAAAAGACAAAAAAATAATTCATTGCTACAATTGCAAAGACTCACGTCATATGAAGAGAGATTGTCCAAAACTGAAGAAGAAGATTGGGGAAAAATGTGATGCATCATCGAAGTTTGTAAATGTGGTGCAGAGTGACAATTCAGATTGCAGTGATAACGATGTGTTTTCAGTTTCATCAACTCAGTTCACGGATGCATGGATTCTTGATTCAGGATGCTCTTATCACATAACACCTAACAGAGAGTGATTTACTTCATACATGTCAACTAATTCTGGCTCATTTTATCTAGGTGATGATAAATGTTACAATATTGTTGGTATTGAAGAAATTAGAATTAAGATGTATGATATCACAGTTAGAACATTATGTGATGTCAGACATATTTCAAATATGAATAAGAATTTGATTTCCTTGGACACTTTACATAGAAATGATTTCATTATTAAGGCAAATGAGGATAGGGAAACCATCTGAATTGTTAAGGTTGCACTGACGGTGATAAAAAGAAAATTAACTGCAGACAATATCTACAAATTGTTGGGGAGTACAGTTGTAGGTGAAGTTCATTATGTGGAGTCAGATGATGATAGTACAAAGCTATGACATATGCGGCTGGGTCATCTTAGTGAGCGTGGGATGACAAAATTGTATAGAAAAAACTTGTTACATAGTGTTAAAAGCTGCAAGCTTGATCTTTGTTAGTTTTGTGCTCTTGAAAAACAGACTAGAGTTAATTTATGACTAAAAAACTTAAAATTAAAGAGATTCTTGATTATGTGCATCTGATATATGGTACCCTACCAGAGAATCTTCATTGGAAGAATCTCAGTATTTTATTACCTTTATTGATGATTTCTCCAAGAAAGTTTGAGTATATTTCTTGAAACAGAAATCTGAAGTTTTCTCTAAATTCAAGCTGTGGAAAGCTGAGGTGGGGAACTAAACTGGCAGAAAGATCAAGTATTTAAGGTCCGATAATGACACAGAGTACACAGATTCGTAGTTTCAGAAGTTCTGTGAGGAGCATGAGATTCAGAGGCATTTTTCAGTGCGCAAGACACCACAGTAGAATGGTGTGGCAGAAAAGATGAACAAGTCCTTAACTGAAAGGGCAAGATGTTTGAGACTGAATACAAGACTTCCTAAGAATTTCTGGGCAGAGACTGTGAATATGACATGTTATCTCATCAATAGATCATCTCGGGCATCGCTGGGTGGCAAAGTCGCAAAAGACGTATGGACAAGTAATCCAGTTATTTTTGATCATTTATAAATTTTTGGTTGTACTGCTTATGTGCATGTCTCTGGAGATGAAAGATCAAAACTTGATACAAAATTCAAGAAGTGTATCTTTCTAGGCTACAAGAAAGGTGTGAAAGGATAAAAGTTTTGGGATCCAATTGCATTGGGATCCAATTGCAAAGGATCCAATTGCAAAGAAGATGGTGATCAACAAAGATGCAGTTTTTGATGAACAGTCCATATTGCAGCAGAATCAAGACAAAGTGCAAGAGAACTGTTTCAGGTGCAGTGCAGATGGATTTAGAACAACATCCAAAAACAATTGAGAGAGTTGAAGGTTCAAATCCAACACCTGGTGATTTTATTCTAGTTGATATGCAGAATTATAATCTAGCAAAAGACAGACACAGACGCACCAATATAAGACATCCTAGCAGATTGGGTTATGAAAACTCGGTCTCTTGTGCACTTCTCATCAGCAGCAATGATCCAACAACTTTTCAAGGAGCTATAACTAGTCAGAAGAAAGAGAAATATATGGGTACAATGGTTGAGGAGATGAAGTCTTTGCAGAAAAATCACACATGAGAGTTAGTTCAACTTAATGAGGGAAAAAAGACTATTGGGTGCAAATGGGTGTACAAAAAGAAACCAACAGTATCAGAAAAAGAAGGAAAAAAGTTCAAGACTTGATTGGTAGCAAAGAGATTTTCACAGCAGAATGAGATAGATTATGATGAAATCTTTTCTCCTGTGGTCAAAGATACTTCAATCAGGGCAGTACTTGCATGAGTATTTATTTGGGATTTGCATTTGGAGCAGATGGATGTTAAAACTGCTTTCTTGCATGGTGATTTGGAGGATCAAATTTACATGGAGCAGCTAGAAAGGTTCACTCAACCTAGATAAGAGCATCTGGTTTGCAGATTAAAGAAATTGGTGTATGGGTTGAAACAGTCTCCAAGATGATGGTACAAGCGATTTGACTTCTACATAATTCAGATTGGTTATAAGAGTTGTGAGTATGATTTTTGTGTTTATGTGAAGAGCCTTGATGATCGTTCTATTAGTTCTATTATTTTTCTGTAATTTTTCTGTAACTGTATGTTGATGATATACTGATTGCTGCAAAGAATATGAATGATGTTTGTGGTTTGAAAGCTTTATTGAGCCAGAAATTTGACATGAAAGATTTGGAAGAAGATTCTTGGAATGAAGATTCACCGGGACAAAGCCTCAAGACGATTATGTTTATCTCAATGAGAATGTTGAGAAAGTGCTAGAAAAGTTTTAGATGAGCAAAGAAAAGTCTGTAAGTACTCATTTGGCAAATCATTTTAAGCTTTCTTCAGAACAGTGTTCTAAGACAGATACAAAAATCGAAGACATGACAAATGTTTCATATGCCAGTGCAGTTGGCTACTTAATGCATACAATGATATGTACTCGTCATAATTTGACTAGTGCTGTTAGTCAAGTCTACAAATACATGTCTAAACTTGGAAAACGACATTGGGAAGCAGTCAAGTGGATTTTCAGGTATCTGAGGGGTACTATAGAACATATAATTATTTTTGGCAGTTAGCAGGATGATCCTTCAGTTGTGGGGTACGTTGATTCATACTATGCAAGTGATTTAGATGACAAAATGTCTACAACTGGGTATGTGTTTACTCTTGGTGGAGGGCCTTGGTGGAGGGCCTATATGTTACTATATGTTAGAAATCAATAATTTAGTCTATTGTGACATTATCTACAATTGAAGCTGAGTACATGACAATAGATGAAGCTGCAAAAGAAGCATTATGGCTTGCTGGGCTAGTAATGAGACTGGGCGTTGAGCAATGTGGAGTTCACTTATATTTTTTTACTTTACAATAGTACCAAAACTTGATCCTAGAGAAACTAAGAATTTAACTTTTTAATTTATATATATATTGAGATACTACGCAAGTATACATATCGTTATAAAGTAATATAAGACTTTTTGATTAAGACATTAATATCGAACCTACGGGAATTTCACAATATGCACTATTAAACAACAAACTTTCTATTTTAAAAAGACAATTACTTAAACTATAGATATTTTTATAGTAATTAAAATTCAAATCTATTTGATATTTTTGATATTTTGACAAAACAATAAAAACTTTTAAAGATCACTTGAGTTTATGTAAAAAAAAACACTTAATATGAAATATCTTTGTCCTTATCATGAATCAGTAATAAGTATAAGATTTTTATTGTGGAAGTATGCAAATTGTGTTGTGCCAAATATGAGCAATATTATTTTTTACCCTTACTAGAGATGCTCTAAAGAACATTGACTAATTTAAAGTTTGAATAGTTTTGAAGACCGGCTAGGCATGGAAGATACCATCTCTCACTCTAGAGTTCCCTCGATTCTCTCCACATAAGGGCTAACATCTCGTATCAGATTCTAAAATAATAAACCAAGTTGGGGGCTTTAGTCTGTAACTCTAAAGTTCTTTAACTCTACATCCTTCAAAGATTATTTCCCTATTTATTTTCACTTAATCAT